TTAACACACATTTATACAGAGTTGGGCAAACTACGGTCCGCGGACCAGATACGACCCGTTGGGCTTTTTCACGACACTGTTTATATTACGAAGAAATTGGCAACGTGATAGTGGACGCTACATCCAGGCAGTGTTGAGTTGTCATTTTGCAGTGTTTACCTACTTTACAGTTGAACCACTAGATGGCGCAATCCTGACAATTTACATATTTCTCCTCTTTAATTGATCTTTGCCTCTGCATTGAGGTTTTGATGCGTTCAAAGAGCTGAGTTTTTAGACCGTGAAGTATTTATAATCTCACCTCATCCCCGTGGAAACAAAACATCACACATCAATGTACGTGTCAGGCAAATGGGATGTTATGCCAACTTAACAGACATTCTATTTTAGCTAGAAATTAAATGTTTATTATTCGCGATACTGTAGTGAAACGATACAATACAAACACGTTGACAGATATACGCCGAACGGAAGGAAAACATGAAACAACTGTAAGTGCAGTTGAATTTATTTGCTATTTTCTTTCCTTTTCTGTTGTTTCCAATTTAAACCAGTGAGAGTTTACAGATCCTCATAGTCCATCTGCATTTGATGTGTCACAGTGAACCATGTGGAAAAAAGCTGTGATTGCTTGAGGCGTGTCCTAGACAGATGAGGACATCAGGGGTTCCTGGGCTATTTGATTTAGTCGCATACCTTCTTTGCCCAAGCGGGAAAAAAAAGTTCACCCTCTTCTTTTCTTACTTTGGGATATTATAAACAAACTGAGTACACACTATGGAGTTTCCTGGGCTCAGAGGAGCCATAATCGACAGTTGCCATGTCCGATTTGACGGTTGATTGATTGGCTGTCATGCGGCTTTGATCAGATCCATCCAGATTTGCATCAGAAAATCACTTCCCACCGTGTGTTGCAGGCCCCTGACGTCACATTTTAACCACTTTGAGAGGCCCAGTGTACTTTTTATACACACACACACACATACACTCACACACACAATCTCTTACTCTCTCTAATGGCATGGTGACTCACGAGAAAGTGAAAGAAGGGAAGACAATGTGCTTTTACAGCGAGGCATCACAAACAGACACACGTACACACATTTCAAACAGAGGACATCACACTCCCATGTACACATGCTCACATGTTCCCTTTGAACACACACACACACACTCACAGTGGGTAGGAGGCAGGAGGAGTAGGTTAGGGGTTGTAAAAGGAGCCGTGTGCTATGTAATGGAGGGGAGGAATGAGTTTGCTCTGTCAGACCGGGCCGTCACAACGGCTTTGTTTCATGTTTGATTTAATTGTCTCTCTCCTGACAGGCCCATTCATCAATGGCTTTAATGGTCAATCAGAGACAGGCTGAGTGAGTGCTCCCATTCTGTTTAGCCATAAGCTGGCCTGGGCTTTTATTTCATCAAAATGCCCCAGCCTAATGTACATGCTCACTGGCTCAGAGTGGCCGCGGGGAGCACATAAAGAATGACTGAAAGCTTTCTGATTTCAGATCAGTAAGAAGGATGTGTTTTTTTTTTATCTCCTCTCCTCTTACTCTCTCTCTCTCCCCCCGTCTCTCTCACTCTCTCCTCTTTGCTATGCTGTTGTTTCACTGTTGACGAACGGGGATAAAGGCTGTAACATAGATAGTTTTGTGTTTTTAGAAAACAACTTTTTTTCTTCTCTGAATCCACAATTCTTTGTTCATTCATTCATCTATTCATTTCTTCATTTTTTCATGCTCCCTTTCCACCCTTGTCAGTCAGACGGTGCAGCTGCAAGTTATAAAGTTGTCAACTGTTCAGTGGCACACAAAGGGTGATGATGAATTGATTGCAGCACAGAGCATGGTGATAGAGAGAGAAAAGAAAAAGGATGACAGATGATGGGCCTTGATTAGGGACTTAGGGGGAGAGTCAGCCCACTGCAACCTTGAGACTTGCATGAAAAATTTACCCCCCTCCCTCCTGCACATGCACATGCACACACACACACACACAATTTGGTTTGCTCTTTTATTGTCTTTCAAACACGCACTCTCAGCTTCCCTCTCTTTCCTTCTTCTGTCTAAGAGCGTTTTTCTCGCCACACTCGAAAACTTGTTTTGCCTGCTTCATTAGCGTTGGTCCAATTAGCCGTGAGGCTGATGGAGTCCTGACAGGCCCTGTGATTGGAGATGACAAGCTCGGGGTGCCCAGCCCAATGAGGTTTGCCACCACTTTGATGTAATCAACCTGATATTACGCAGAGCTGCTTGCCTTTGGTTGTGCTGTAACTCAATTTATATCACAGGTGACAAATGGGTTTGTGTACCTGGGTCAGGTCTGAGTGGTCGTAACAACCAAGAGCAGCTGGCCATGTAGCACACACGCAAACATGAGAAAGACCCCTTTCAGCTCCAGATAGCAGACCCTTTGTAAGCCCTGAGCCCAAAAGCTTTAGAAAGTGTTATAAAAAAGTTTTACTAGTCCATCAACTTAACAGGAAGTAGATCTTTGCATTACAGCTTGATTGAACCACTAACCCGCTCTTTCACTAGAACGTCTTCAACATGTACAGTTAGCCCGAGTGAGAAAGCTGTGTCAGACAGTATTTGCTCTGCTTTGTGTGTCAGTGTCACCTGAGAGGAAGATACTTAGCCCCTTTCCTTGGTCACGGCCCACACGACGTGAGTTTCTAAAAGAGTGTCTGACGCTGAAGGGAGTGTGACGCAGACCAACAGTCTCTACTTTCTACACTGTCAGGGTTATAGTTGCCAGATTGGCAGCCATCACTCATGTCTCTCTTTTTCAGTCTCTGTCTCTCACATCGAGACAAGTGCTTTTGCAGATTTTCAGTGCGTGCGTCTATGTGTTTTGTGGAAGCGATGAGAAGACTGTAGACCACCTACTGAGGCCAGACCATGGTTCTTTTAACTCTTTGGACCTTTTTCTTTCTACAAATTAGCTGAATTTCATCCAAACATGTTAAATAGAGACTATTAAAAGCAGTTGTTGCAACCACCATAGAGTCATGAGAAATGAGGAAAAGTTGCTGTTTCTTTTTTTAATTATTAGTTTTATCCGGCTGCTTTCCTATTGTTTATGTGTAGAAAGCGTGCCCTCGCAGCAGCAGCTCAAGTTGGGATTTATTTGTTCCACAAATACCCGGACTGAAGGCGCTATCAAGCTTTAACGACGACAAGCCTTCCCTGGTGTTGTTTGCAGGTGTGAGCGTGGCAAATGTTTTTGGCTTTGCAGGCCTCGTTGTTAATGAAAGTCCTGTGGCTGGATTCCGGTGAGGTTGAGTCACGTCTGTGATCTATGTGTCTGATAAGTGCATACCTAATGAGGCTGTGCACCAGTGAGAAGAGGAGGAGGAAGGCTGACAGAGTGTTTCCCACAGGTATTGACAGATGCCTTTTTGTTTTTGCCATAGGCCCTGACTCCATAAATCCTGCCCGTGTAATGATAACAGTGCCACCCTGCCGTCAAGTGAGTGAAAGAGAGTGTAAGAGAGGAGAGAAAGGGCAGAGAGGGGAGGAAGAGGAGGAAGAGGAGGAGGTCTGGGTTGTGGGAACAACAGAGGGGAAAAAGATCGGGGGCGGAAAACTGGGCTTTCTCTTCTTTTTAACACACACTTGGCAGATGTCAGGCTACAGGGTTGGACTACAGGAGTGCAGAGTAAGTGCTGTACTAGTGTCACAAATATAAAACCGTTAGCCATCCACTCTTCTCTTTCAGCTCTCTGTGTGCTTTCAGGCAAGGTTTTCAGCCGGGACTGCTGTCTGGCTCCCAGTTTGAGGCTTTGTAAAAATAGTCCCACCACTGTTGTGATAGATGCAGCTGCACTGTGGCGACAATTGGGACAGGCTGGTTCTCCCGCTTGTTCCCCACGCAGTCTCCTACCCCTCCCAGAGGTAGAGTTCGTCAGAGCCTGGTGGGATGTGTGCTCTTTTCGGGGAAACTGAGCCACTCTGGTCTTCAGGGGTCCTGAAACCCAATCCAGGAGGAGAATAGCCCGTCCATGCCAGAGAGCCGATTTCCTTTTCAACAGAGTCATTTATCACTGACCCACCCTTCGCTTCTGACACAGTGACGTGTGTCATTTATCAAACGGGCTTTACCAGACACAGAGAAGGGAGGTGGATGGGGGCAGGAAAAGAAAGAGAGAGTAAGAGAAAAACAAGGCCGAGAGAGAGAGAGAGAGAAGGAGAGAGAGGATGGTAGAGACAAAGAGGAGAGGAATGGAGTATGAGGCGTGCAGTCAGTGGAGAATGACAGGGGAATGGGGAGTTAGGAAAAGAGCATTTGTGTGTGTGTGTGTATGAATGTGTGAAAACGGCAAGTGAGTTTTTCCAGGGATGAGCAAGCCATCCTGAAATCCTTGATGTGTTTGGGAGGGGAGATTTTTTAGAGATGACAGTGTGGATTGAGTTACTCTGGGTTGTGTTTTGATGATGAGTGACAGAATGTTCTTCCCTGACATGTCTTTCGATGTCAGAAGGAAGGGGAGAAATATGCTTTGTGATTATACACGTCCGACAAGTGTGATGGCCATATGTACGCACATGCAAAGAAGACACACACATCCAGACACTGTGAAGTGCACGTGTGTGTGTGTGTGT